TGTGACCATATTATTATTCATTTATATTGTATAAGGTGCATTCAGAAACATTATTTAAAGAATATAGTACGCAATTTTCATTACTTGTATTGTTTTGGGGGGGAAAAGAGGGTAAAAAGCCACACAAAAGATATGAAAAGGTCACACTTGGGAACACATCCCATTATTATTGCTTTATTTTAATGGTAATTAATGATTCGCGATAAGACGATTCACCTTACACTGCAATATTGGAGGTCACATTACCTTCGTTATTCGAGTCTTTTCTGCAAATAAATTTCTTTGGTCATAAAAAAATAAAGAAAATAATAAATTACCTCTCCAATGGAATTTACAGATTGTTTTATATCCTATAGAACCTAAGTTATTAATATTTTAAACTGCACTAGGTCTTTATGGACACCCTGTATATATATATATATGTTTTCTAATGCACTTAAATGAATTAATCTTATTTTCTTCTTGGCACAGGCAAAACATCTACCATAGTTTCATTGGTTCGGCTGATGGTTTCTCTGGGATTATCCGTACTCCTTACCAGTTATACACACACTGCTGTTGATAATATATTGTTGAAGCTCAAGGTAAGTTGTTATAAAAGTGATTATTTTAAGTATCATTATGGAGTAATAATTGCCTCTTGTGGTATACAGTGGTCCCTCGGTTAACGAATGGTTCGGTTAACAAAATTTCGGTTAACAAAATTTCGGTTAACGAATTACCTTCCATAAGAATCTTCAATTCGGTTAACGAACAAAAATTTGATAAACGAAATCCTTACGAACATCACGTTTTGTTGTGAGCATCAGCTGATGGGCTAGTCTGCCAATTCAGGAATCTGTTCTATGTTTACATTCTTTTCTAGTGGAGTAAATATAAAAAAATTGTGTTCTTTAATATTTGTGCATTTTTTATACTAAAATTATTGGTCATTCAAAAATTTAGCCATCCAAGCTCTGTCTACATAAAGTTTTTCAACTATTATTTTTGGCTCGATATATGTAACTTTATTCATTTATTGAAACTCATTTACATGCATACACTGTCCTAAGGGCAAAGCTGTACTGTACATGTAATCAAAATAATGTACAAAATGAATACTAATATTTTAATCTAGTGCAAACTATTGCATGTTTACATTCAAATTAATCACTATCTTATATGAATAAGAGCAACGTAAATTATATTCTCCCCGGTCACTTCTATGAAATTATATAAGCAAAAAACAAAAACTCAATCTAAAGGACATAAATAAACAAATACCGTATATACTCGTCTATAACCCCCACTCGTTTATAGGTCGACCCTGATTTTTTGACCAAGAAATCGTTAATTTACGATATTCCTCGTTTATAGTTCGACCCACGTTTTTGAGGGTATTGGAACAACAAAACCTTCACTAAAAACACTCTACGTCCTATAAACTGAAGCTCGCCGTGCCTGAAACACGAGTGCCGAAGGCAAATTGTTTACCATTTATTATTACGTACGACACTTTACACTGAAACGCGGGTAGTTTCAACAAAAATATTGTATATTTCCATTCAAGTATTTATTCAAGTCAATTAGGAGGGAATATTATTGTAATACAACAGGTTTTTAACTAAACCATTCGAAAAGCGAATACGGTAACATCTTTTGAACGAAAGAAAGCGAAAGTCATTGTTTTCGTCACGATTTTATCCCACTTTCCACTGTAATACGTACGTAATTTCAGCAAAAATATTACATTTCCGTGAATGTATTATATCAAGCACACTGAATAGAATATCATTGTAATATAACAGAATTTTAACCGAAAACTATTAAAAAAACGAGTAACATCTCAAGAACAGAAGCTTAGGTAAAGTCTTTTGTTTTCGTCATGTATTTTATCCTATTTTACATTGAAATACATCACGTTTCAGCAAAACTACTATTTATTTCCGAGAATATATTCATTCAGGCGCAGTTTAGGTAAAATATACATGTGATGTAATAGTTTTTTTAACTGAAAACGATTCGAAAAACACGTACCCTCTAGCCCTGTTCAAGGAGAGGACTGGGAGAAGCTGTTTGGTGCTGCAGACGATGACAAGGAAAATGATTTGGATGGATTTTAATGAAAATATTCAAAAATATGGTATCGTATTATTTATTCAAGTCAATTAGGATAGAATATTATCGTAATACAACAGTTTTTAAACTGAAAACCATTCAAAAAGCGATTACGGTAACATCTTTTGAACGAAAGAAAGCGAAAGTCATTGTTTTCGTCACTCCACTGTAATACGTACGTCATTTCAGCAAAATATTACATTTCCATATTCTCAGAAATAAATAGTAGTTTTGCTGAAACGTAATGCATTTCAATGTAAATTAAGGATAAACTACATGAAAAAAAAGACTTTACCTAGCCCGATGTTCAAGAGATGTTACTGCTTTTTAGTAGTTTTCGTTAAAGTATTTTATATTAGTGATATTCTATTCATACTGTGCTTGATTTAATACATTTACGGAAATGAATTTTTGCAACCACGCTGATGTCAACACAAGCGTGGTTACAGCGAGACTGACTGAGTGAGGGAGAGCTATGTGGCGGTGTGAGGTTATGGAGCGGGCGGTGTCCTGCGGTTCGTGCTGCCATGCGAGTTGAATTAAGATTTGAATGTACTTCAATTACTTCAATGTACAGAATATCCGCGGGGCAACCACAGATGCAAATCCGCGTATTATAAACCCGCTGCGATGTTAAGGGCCGACTGTACTGTATTAATAAAATAATAATAGTAATAAAAACGTGGCGCCTGCTGGACCACCACTCCGACCCTGGCGGAAACACGATGATCCTCCCCATACTGGTCAGATACTATGTGTTAAGGAATATGCTTCCTTACTTAGGCTTTTCTTATATCATTTCTCACTCTTGACCTTTTTTCCCCATTTGGTTTGCGCCCGAAGGCTGAAAATATACATTGGACGTAAATGACTTATTACATACATTGGTGGTTTAACAAAAGCCTTCATTAGAGAAAGGTGAAGGAACATACAGATTAATGTTTACACACGTATATCATGTGAGCTGAGGTGTTGAACAGCAGACACGTAGTGTAGTAACTCCCTCACAGATGGTATTATGAGGGGTTCATGTGGAGTACTAGTTCCCTCACAGGTGGTGTTATGAGGGGCTTGACATGGTGTAGTAATTCCCTCACAGATGGTGTTACGAGGGGCCTGATGATGGAGTAATTCCCTCACAGATGGTGTTATGAGGGGCCTGATGTGGTGTAGTAATTCCCTCACAGATGGTGTTATGAGGGGCATCACATGGCATAGTAATTCCCTCACAGATGGTGTTATGAGGGGCATCACGTGGTGTAGTAATTCCCTCACAGATGGTGTTATGAGGAACTTCACATGATGCTGTAGCAACTCATTCACTACGTGGTGTCGTAGCATCATGGGGACACCACGTGGTCTGTTGCCACAGGACTTCACTCACTCAAATGGGTGAGGTGTGGTCCCAGGCCTCTCTATCGTGGAGTCTCAGGGGAATTATCACTGGGTACCTGGGACCTCACTGTGTGAAGGTTAGCTTGGGTAAGACTCAACTGTAACTGCCGAGTTGTTTTTCACTGACTTAAGCACTGTTCACCACTATTCAACACTGGTTCCATTCCTTTCCCAAATGAAATAGTAACTTCTGGCGAGAACTTGTTGATATTCCGGTGGGGAGGAGGGTTCAGGGGAGGGAGTTGGTGTGGGCCAACATAATAGTTGACGTGGCTGCTGCTGAGCAGCTCCAGGTGCATCTGACCCGTCTTGACCCGTCGGTGGTCAAGGATGAAGTGTGAGTGTAATAATAATAATAATAATAATTAACGGTTTATTGAAAGAGCTTGCAGCCAGAAGGCTGAAAATATACAGTTACATATTTGGGGAATGGGTTACGAATTACAAATAATATACAAGTAACATAAGTGATACAAATAAGATATATAATAACTAGATGGGGAAAAGCTCAAACTACAGTGCATTTCAACATAGTGACAGTGCAAGAAGTAGTATTTACTTGGGAGTGAATACACTGGTTTATTACAAGTTATTGATAATTTTTACAATGGTTGGGACTGGGCTGTTCTTATAGCGATCAGTTCGTGCACGTATGGGCTGGATGCGGTTGTGGTGTCGAACAGCAATTCTCGGGCTAGGGATCTCAGGTGGTAGTAGAGCCGGTGTCGAGGATGGTGTAGAAGCTTCTTACCAAATTTGCAGATGAGGTCGTGGTGATGGTCAGTGAGAGTCGACAGGGTCAGTGTGTTGAGCGCTTCTTGACATGTGGAGTAGGAAGGGGAGAGAATAATCTTGCATGCCCTCTTTTGCACTTTTTCTAGGTATTTACGTTGTGTGGCATTTAGGGAGGAAGACCAGGTAGGGGAGGCATAGGTGAGCTTGGGAAGTATGAATGTTGTGTAAACACTGAGGAGCTCGGGTGCAGGAACTCCGAGGGACTTGAGTCGGCGGAGGAGGTGGAGATGGAAACTGGAGGATTTGACAGCTTCACTGACGTGTGGTTTCCAATTTAGTTTGTTGTCTATGGTGACGCCGAGGAGCTTCGTGGAATCTACAACCTGGAGTGTGTTCGGACCTAAAGTAATGGTTCCGAGGCAGAGGGCAGATTATTGGCCCTCACCTGTATCACTTGTATCAATTGTATCACTATCCACCACAGAGGCTTACAGGGCCTCTTTGTCAAACCCCTCAAAGTCCATATAAGTCCATATCCTCAATATAATTATCACTATCACTGACTTGGGCCGGCTGTAGTGGGTGGCGGGTGAAGAACTCAGTAATGTTTTGATGACTGGGCGAACTTGTGCGCATCGTGCCCGCGCCGCTTCCCGCGTATATGAGTAGATGAACCGCGTTAAGTGAAAGTTCGGTTCTGGCGAGGCACCGCGTATATGAGAAATCGCGTTAAGTGAAACCGCGTTAAGAGGGATACAACTGTATATATACACTGTATTATGTTTCCAGGTAGTATCTAATATTTTTTTTGTATCTTTATTGTCATGGTCAAGGTTACATACTTGAATTACATTTCCTCCTGTGTTTCTTAGTTCTGTGTCTAATATAGTTTCAACTTTTAAGATAAATGATTTATGGAACTCACACAAAAGATGCTAAATATGTACAGGTACCAGGTATTATATTTTATTTAACCTCTCTTAGTGTGGGTGGAAGCATCCCTTTAGTATGGGCGTACGTCAGTGAATTTCAGCCTCCCAACAAACGAGGTGGTGCGTTGAGTACCATAGCTACATTCTGGATGGTTGGGAATATTCTTGTTGCAGGTGTGTGCTATTGAAAACCTCATTACTGTACATTACTGTTTCTATATTTTTTTTAATTCACTATATTTGTGCCTTAAGGATTCCCTACTTACCTCCCATATGTTCAAAATTGGTACACAGGGAATTTAAAATGTCCATTGAGGATGTCTGCTGTTTTAAGGGTTAATGAGGCTCTCCGTTATGACCCAAGTTTATGCCGTACCCCACCACCACCACTAAGTTAGTGATACATTGTGTAGAATGTTGGACAGAGTAGCATTTATTGGATGTCCTTATTTAGATACGGTATCAACCTTTTCATACACAGTATGTTTATTCATACAGTGAAACCACCATATATCGGACTTCTCTCTCCTTATAATCAATTAGATGGAGGTTTCACATCTGATGGACCTTGATACAATGGAATTTCCTCTACACAGTATCCTTTTAACCCTGAAAACCAAAAACCCCAAAAACTTCCAATAGCCAGGAAGAAGTATGTATTTACATAGCTTATTTTATATTTTGATATTATCTGAATATAATATCAAATTTTGTTTATAACAAATTGATTAAATCATATACCAGACATATCCATTTCTGCATTGTATAATTTTTTAATTCATTTCAACTAAAGTTTCAGAAAACATATAGAAAATGAATAAAATATTTGCAGATAATTACACAAACCAATACCCAAATTAAATAGATGTGTCACTCTATTAATATTTATTTTTTTATGCTCATTCTTACAGTATTTGGTCTTGTGATAATTCCCAGCGACATTGGCTTTGTGAGTCCAAACTTTTCTTACAACTCATGGCGAATCTTCCTCACCGTGTGTGCTCTTCCTTCACTCATGTAAGAAATGACATTCACATATTTTTAATTTTTCACATTTTATTTTATTTTGTTAATTGACTATCTTTATATGTTGTAGTGTGAGAGACCCATCAGTAACATCAGAAATAGAAGATATAGTAGACTTACGTAGTGATATGACTGTACCCTCATTAATTAAAAAAAAAGAGGCTCTGGATCACTTGAATTACCGAAAAATCAACTTAACTGAGTTTGGAATATTTTAGCATTATTCAAAAATTTCCTAAGTTTTGTGTTTGATTATTCGTTCGTATTCTGTTCAGTTTTTGCACCTGGCCATTCCTTGGCTGCCACATGAAATAATCTTTATGATCACTGTACTGTGCAAGCATAAATACTTTTTCAAATGTACCGGTACATACAGTTATAATAAAGGAAATAATACAGTAATATATAAATGTAACACTGTGAGGTGAGCTCATGAAGGGTGAGGTGACGAGGCAGGAGGTCAGGTGACAAGGAAGGGGTGAGCTGATGAGGCAGGTGGTAAGGTGACGTGACAAAACACTTAAACAGCACACACATTTTACTTTATTATTTCTGTTTTTTAATTAATTAATACATGATGGCTTCAATTGGCTTCATTTGCACATAGACAACTGATCAGTTAATAAACCAGGGCATTTGGAGAGACATTATACACTACAATAATATTTATTAAATTCTGATAAAAGTGATATCTCTGTTAACCCGAACTATTGGTGCAGAGCACTTCTGGGAATGAGAGATTTATGGGTAACGAGACGACTCTCAAAGCCTAAAAAAAAAAATCCTCATCCCTGGAACTTTCCGGAATTTTCCGGGCACCGGGAACATTTTCTCGGAAGTTCCAGAAATTGTACATTACATCATCTCTTGAACCTGGAAAGAAATCTCCCTTCCCCGGAATTTTTCCGGGTACCGGAATTTTCCGAATGATGCATTATTTCATCTTTCAAAGCTGGGGAAAAAAATCCCCCATCCCCAGAATTTTCCGGGACCGGAAAATTTTTCTTGGAATTTCCGGAAAATACACCTGATTTTCCTCTTTCCAACCTTGAGAAATCCACCATCCCTAGAATTTTCTGGACAATTCCAGCTTTGGGAACGATTTTCCAAGAAAATTTAAATTCCGGCTATTGTAGAGTTCGGATGAATAATCTCAAAACAACACATGTCTGTCTACATAAAGTTTTTCAACTAATATTTTTGGTTCAACATGCATAACTTTCTTCAATTATTTTTGCTCATTTACATGTACACACTGTCCTAAGGGCAAAGCTGTACTCTTCATGAATCAAAATAATGTACTAAATGATTACTGTACTAAAAATTTTGTCTAGTGCAAACTATAGCATGTTTATATTCAAATCAATCACTATCTTACAAGAATCCCAGCAATGTAAATTATATTCTCCCCGGTCATTTCAGTGACATTTTATAAGAGAAAAACTTAGTCACTCTTGAGGACTGATAAATAAACATGCACTTGACCTTCGGTGCCAACTGTCAAATGTCACCTCCCTCCCTCCCTCCCTCCCTCCCTCCCTCCCTCTCCTCCATCTTCACAGCCAGGGTTTGGTAGTTTTAGGCTTACAGTTTTTATCTTATATAATATCAGAGACTAAAGTTAGGAGAATATAATTTGCATTGCTAGAATCCTTGCAATGCCAAAATTTGATTTATGACAATCCGAATTAAGGAGGGTACAGTGTGCTTACCAATATTAAAGTACAAGACTATACTATAAAAGTTTGAGAACAGGAGGAAGTTTACATCAACATATACTGTACAGTAGAATTTTGAAGGATTACAATAATTAGAGTAGAGGAAAGTGTAAATTATATTTAAACAACAAAAAGTTCTTAGGTAGGAGAAGATGCAGAAGGGGTTGAATAAGGGTAAGAAATGTAGGTACTATACTATACAGGTGTTCCTCTACTTACGAACGAGTTACGTTCCTGAGGCTTGTTTGTAAGTCCAACTTTACTCTTGTAGATAGCAAACATATTGTAAAAAATTTAAAGATTATGGATATTTAGTACAGCTATACCCTTTAATACAGCCTTAAAACCTGGCTCACTCTTCTCCTCTTCGGTAATGTTTGTTCTATCTGGAATTTTCTTCAAAATAATCCAGTCTCATCCACATTAAACACCTGTTCTGGCAGGTAACCTCCCTCAGTGATGATGTTTGTATCCCTGAAAGTTTGTAAGTTGAACGTTCTTAAGTAGAGGAGCACCTGTTCATCTTTGGTACTCTTGTGCTGACCGTTTCCCTTACCAGGTGTTATTACTGTACTGTATATTAGTCTAACAAAACATTGATCTTTGAAGGCTTATATCCAATATGGTAATCAAGTCATCCTATTACCTCAACCAGATAACACAAACCAAGCTCACAGTACAGTTTCATCTTTTACATTTTCATTTCTCTCTGGTCACGAAATGGGGCTGAGGTTCGTTTCATTTGAAAAACAAAAAATTATTCCTAATTCTGTCCCTCTAATAATACTGTAGTTTTTTCTGTATTCTGATAATACTGATCGTGTTTGTGTCCAAAATTGCGTATGTAGCTTTGGTAGGAATCAGAAATTGTGTAGGTATGAAGTATGAATCCAGTTAGTTTATTCAGTGTACGTATTTCTTAATTACTGTGCAGTACATGAAAAGATATATGTGATCAGTACTGTTTGAGGATTCTGTTCTTCCATCTTATTCAATTGGGGAATGGACTTCAGTTGATAGGTAATGTTTTCTCTAGGTACTTTTATTTTTAGCCTTCAAAAACATATGAAAAATATTCATCTTTATCTTTACTAAGCCTTCTAAGAAGCTCTTATACCATTTGAGTCATTCTTTGACATGAAATACCTTTTTTCTTTCAGTATTGCCATAGTAATAATATGGCTCCCGGAATCTCCCATGTATTTACTACTAAGAGGCCGCCATGACGAAACTATTGCTGTTCTACAGAAAGTATATGCTCAAAATAACAATAAATCACCAAAGAAATACCCAGTAAGTTATTATGATAATGTAGTAGATTGTAAAGTTTGATATTATAATATTTCAGTATTACCTCTCTTTACCCAAATAATTGGTGAGCAGCCAGTTCAGTATAGGGAGTTTTTTGGTGTAAAATTAATCCAAAAAACTTGTCCAATACAGTTGAACGTAGATTTAAAGCGATTCAATTTAAGATAATTGATTTAAAACAACACCCACAATTAAGGACAATGTTTTAATTTAAGGCAAATCTTTCTTATTTTGCGCGAGTCAATCTGGCGCATCGTATTTAAAATTTTGCGCCTAATGTTTCTCTGGGCACGCTACACTGTCCTAAGGGTAAAGCTGTACTGTACATGTACTCAAAATAATGTACTAAATGATTACTAAAATTTTGGTCTAGTGCAAACTATAGCAAAGCTGAAGAACATAAATAAGCAAATAAATATTTCACTAGACCTTCGCGCCAATTGTCAAACATGTCACTGTCACTTCCCTCCCATCTACCCAGCCAGGGTTTGGTGTTTTAGGCTTAAATTTTTTATCTTATACAGTATAGTCTGGATTTACGCGGCTTTTGTTTACACGTTTGGTCATTTACGCTGCACCTTGCCAGAATGAAATGTTTTAATTACGCGGTAAATTTCATCATTTATGCGGGTGAAGTATAATTTGTTTATTTACTGAAGATATTTGTTTTTAGCTCATAAAATTCATAGAAATTACCTGGCCAGAATATAATTTACATTGCTGGAATTCTTATAAGATGGTGATTAATTTAAATATAAACATCCTAAAATTTGCATTAGACATACAAATTTTAGAACTAATTTAAGAATTTTATTAGAAAGAGCAAAAATTTTATCTTTTGTGCAAAATATATGACATTTACAAATTATTGGCAGTCTTGCACGGAATACAGCAATGTCAATTAGATTATCCTAACTTTAGTCTGAGGTATTATTTATTACTAAACCTAAAAACCTAGTGTTTTCACCCAAACATTTCTCAGAGAGGGAGGAGCCAGCGAGCGTTGGAAGGGGGGGGGGGGAGTTGAGTCCATTATTTGAATGGACATTAACCGGCGACTGTTTTTCTCTTAAATATTAATTGTGTACATACCATCATAAAATTAAGATGTTATTTTTACTACAACATACGTATTGTGTCAGAAAAAGTGTAGTTTGGGGGTCGGCCCAGTCTCTATTTCAATTAATCCCATATGTTCTGTTATTTCGTTTACGCGTTTCTCATTTTACGCCGACCTCCACAGGTTCAATTGACCAGGTAAATGAAGACTATACTGTATAATGTCACAGACTAAAGTTAGGAGAATAGAATTTGTATTGCTGAAATCCTTGCAAGACAGTGAATAATTTGAATATAAACGTCATATATTTTGCACAAGAGATCAAAATTGTAGTACATTAGTGTACAGTAGGTAGTACATTTTATAATGTAAAGTTTTTCAACTATTTTTGGGTAGATTTACATAAATTTCTTCATTTATTTTCATTCATTTACATGCACACACCATACTAAAAGAAATAAATGACCGAAGTGCAAACCTGTAGTGTAGACGTGTACTAAATTGAGTATGGTACTAAATTTGTTATGTCTAGTGCAAATTATAGCTTGTTTATATTCAAATTAATCACTATCTTATAAGAATTCCAGCAATGTAAATTATGTTCTCCGCGGTCACTTCTATGAAATTTTATAAGCAAAAACCAAAACTCAATCTAAAGGACAGAAACAAACAAATAAATACTTCACTAGACCTTCGGCGCTAACTGTCAAACGTATGCCTCACTTCCCGCTCCCTCCCTCCCTCCCCTCCCTCTGCCCAGCCAGGGTTTTAGGCTTACAGTTTTTATCTTATATAATATCTCAGACTAAAGTTAGGAGAATATAATTTGCATTGCTGGAATCATTGCAAGACAGTGAATAATTTGAATATAAACAATAATGAATCTTTTGTTCATATTCTTAAGGTAAGTGACTGTTTCCTTGAGTGCGCACGTATACATTGGCGTTCCACTATCAGTCTCGCCTTTTTTCTTTAATATCAGTGGTTACTTCTACTGTACGTTAAATAACATTAATTAAAACATACATATTTTTTACATTCATTTTACTTCAACAACAACCAGCGTCTTATTTTCTTCAGTTTCAAATGGTTAACTGAATTATGGGTGTAAGCACTGACAACAATGTCGTCTCTTATCCTCTGCTGTGTTTTAATATTCTACGTATCATTAATGAATTGTATTGTTCATTTCGCATATAGAAAGATTAATTCAATCAAATACATATTCAGTAATAACCAATAATGAATCTTTTGTACATATTCTTAAGATAAATGACGCTGTTTCCTAATATACGTACATATATTTTGTTGTTCCCAATCCATCTCACTTTTTTGTTTGCCATTAGTGGTTAGCTACTTCTATTGTTCCATTTATTAACATTAAATAACATTACTTAAAACAACTATATTAAATTTTTTACATTAATTTTACTACAGGGTCTTATTTTCTTCATTTTCTTATGTAGAACCATCGTCCCGGACTCCCGGCTGTAAACACTAACAAAAACAATGGCGTCCCATCTCCTCTTGTGTGACCATATTATTATTCATTTATATTGTATAAAGTGCATTCGTAAACATTATTTAAAGAAAATAGTATGCATTTTTCATTAATTTTAGTGTTTGGGGGAAAAGAGGGTAAAAAACATACAAAAGATATGAAAAGGTCACACTGTTAATGCATCTTATTATTATTGCTTTATTTTAATGATTCACGATACAATGATTCAACTTACACTGCAATATTGGCTGATAGATATGTTGGAGAAATGATTATAAAAAGTTTGTTATCTCTGCAAATTTATTTTTTTTAAAAAGAAATTGAAATTTTTCTAGAGAACTTAATTGTTTGTCATGTGCGTTCCGTCTTTCTTTGTATTTTTTTAAAAAAGAAATCGAAATTTTTCTAGAGAACTTAATTGTTTGTCATGTGCGTTCCGTCTTTCTTGGGTTAGGTTAGGTAGGGTAACATTAGGTTAGATTAGATAAGGTACGGTAAGCTTAGTTAAGGTTAGGTTTTGTTAGAGTAAGATACATTTCACTAATTTTGCTGCAAAAAAAAAAAAAACTACTGAATGTATTGGATAAAAAACCTATGAAGATAATTTTTTTCTAAGAAAAAAAGGCTTTACCACTTAATTTTTACCCCCGTTTTTTATTAGGTTTGATGAACTCTTTTAGGTTAGGTATTATTTAACTCTGAGTCATGGGTGCTTCTTGGATACTTGGCAGAATAACTTGTTATAACTTGGTCCTAGCAAAGGAAGGAGTCTTGGCAAAAATGTTCACTTGACCTCATAATTGGCTTTCATTACTGAAGGATATTTACAGCTTTACCACATTAATAAGGTCTCTCTGCAAGTTTACTCAGTCATAAAAAAAAAAATTGTACCATAAATGTGGACAATAAAAATCTTATATTTTGGTACTATTACTTAAACAGTTGTAAGAAGACAAAAGCTGCGTCTCTTCCATTCTGCAAGAAATAGAAACACTCAAGCCTCTTCTTATTGTAAAAAAAAATGAACTAAAAAGACAAACGTTAATATCGTATTTTAGTACATTGATGTACAAAACATTTTCTTCATTATTCTATGATAAAACAAGTCTAACAAGTATTATTACAACATATATTATTAATTTTTTTTATGCTATCTGGAAATAGCGACTACAGTACTATATCCGGGTTGATCGTGTTTCAGCAACTCCTTAGGTGCTGTAAGTTATGGGCTAGATTACGGGCTCACTTATGGAGTCCACTGCCAAATATTTGTTTTGAGTATACCGATCGGAGACTGTAAGTCCAGTTACGTGGTAAACAAAGAGATACAAATCCTGTAAATGTTTTTGAGTATGCGACCCTAGGGCTGCAGCAAGGGAGTTGGGCTGATCTTGATATTAACCCCACCTGCATCAAGTAAGGACTTCCTTGGGTTCCAAGCTTGAATGTTTAGCAGGCAGATTGTTGAGCCATTCTTTTATGGCTTTTTTAATATGTGATTTTAGATTTAATTCTTTATTTTGCCTTTCTTAGCTAGATATTTTTTCATTTAAAAGTACAGTTTATTTTTCCATATTTTTGTCTTGTGTATTTGTTCTCAAAGTATTCTTGTCTCTTCCCCTCAGCTGTAAAATTGAGCATTAACCCATAAGCCCCGGGTTAGGGTGCCACTGGCAGTACCCCCCACGCTGGGGTAAATCGAGAAAAATCACAACTTTTCCAAAAATAATTTTTAACCTTTTTGAATGATAAAACAATAAAAAATAAATAAGAAAAACTATATAATGACCATCTAGAAACTTCCTGGCAGTGCTGAGGGAGGGATATAAGGGAACAGTGTTGTTTTGACAGCTGACGCTCGTGGTCACTACTCACTTAGCGGCCATTTTTTGCTTGTCTTTGTGTCTGGGATGGCCAGTAATACATGTATTTACTGATCATAATTCTTATTTCCTATAAATAATTCATTTATAATGTTTTATTTGCAATATTTTTCATAAAAAGTGCTCGGTAAAACACACGCAGTCGGTCGCCAGGCTGTCTGGCTGTCTTTGTGTTTGGTAGAGCAAGTAATGCATAAAATAATAATAATTCCACAAATAAATACATTTGTAACATAATCTAGCATTATTTTCCAGTAATACTACACTACAATACAACTGCTTGTACACTACTTTTAGCAGTATTACTTTGATACAACATGATAAATGGACAAACAAAGAAAATTAAACAAACAAAAGTAGATACAGTACTTACATTCAGGAAGCTTCCCTGTGGCCGAGCGTGTGGCGTGACAGGCAAATAGTCACACGGGAAATGGCGCACGTCTTGGTACGTCACCCGGGGCGCACTAGTCGGGCGTTTTAGTACATCACTGGGGGCGTAAGTGTTAAGCCCTCTAATGATGTGCTTTTTTTTTTCAGGTGACTTTAATTAACACTTCCGGGCTAAAAATTCAGGCAGACATAAACCAAAGTTTGTGGAAGTCATTTGTAATGGCCTTCTATCAGACATTTCGCCAGACAAATGCTTTGTTTGGTCGTTCTCTTCTACGAGTTACCATCATTATGCTCTTGATAAACTTTGCAATACAGTTTGGGTAAGTATAAAATTATTATTATGGCCCTTTTTCTTAAAATTTATGTACAGGTGTTGACCGTTATATAATGGATCTACAGTATATACAATCGATCAGTTTTACAAAAATTAACACCATTTATCGTTATGCAAAACCTAATAAATACATAAAAAAAAAATATTTTATAAGATATTTTTATTAATTTCTTTATCTAAACTATTGTGTATTATAGATTAATGTGTGACAATGACATGTATATATCGACAACTGTTGACTCTGTTAAGTGATTCTGCTTCCTGAGAGACATTCAGTGGAATTCTTAATACTGTATACTTCTCAAAGTATAGTACAGAAAGATACACTGTACAATACATTATATTTTGCAACTTATATGTGCTTGCATATTCTTATAATATGGGAATAACACACACACACACACACACACACACAAAATAATGGATACCCCTTGAGATCGAGGATGGACAGCCCAAGGGCCACCTAGGCATGAATTTGTTTAAGGTGCAGAAGCTGTCGCCAACACAACAACCACACACTAAGTTAACGAGTTGTATGACCCAGTGTCAAGGAACAGTCTGAGAAGACCAGACAACTCGCCAACTGCACTGGGTAAATTGATAAACATCCAGGTCCCCAATTACTGCTGGGTAGACAGAGGCAAATGGTTTAAAGAAACTTGCCCATAGTTTCACCCTGCTCGGGGATCTAACTTGGGTCCACTCGCTTGGTAGGCGAGCATGCTGACCATTACACCACAGGCCGCCACACACACACACACAGTACTTTTCCTACATTGTCACTATGAAAAAGTGATCCTCCTTCTGCCACTTATAGTGACTGCTGGAGGATCGCAACCTGCTTCTGTACACGTCCATTATATGTGTGTGTACAGGGCAGGGTGAAAATATGGACAAGTTTCTTTATGCCATTTGCCTCCGTCTACCAAGCAGTAATTCGGGACCTGGATGTTAACTGATTTGCGGATCGTGTTCCGGGCTAATGTTTAGCCAGTGCAGTTGGCAAGTTGTCCAGTCTTCTCGGACTATTCCTTGACACTGGGTCATGCAACTCGTTAACTCAGGGTGTAATAGTTGTGTTGGTGAAAGCTTCTGCACCTTAAACAAATTCATGCCTAGGTGGCCCTTGGACTGGCTATCCTTGATCTCAAGGGGTATCCATTATTATTTACTGTACCTTACATGATATTATCATTTAAGGTACAATGACTAAAAATAAATCTGGATTTTGTATAAATTTAATGTTTTTTATGTCTATTTATAAATTATTTGGGTTATTTATATGTTATTTAATCATTATAGCAGCAGTTTATAAAACCTGTTTAGGCTCTTCAGGAAATGGAACCTACTTTTCCCTCATAAGTTATTAATATCAGTATACTATCGATCGCTTAGCGATGATCTTTTTAGGTCCCTAATCCCATCGTATAACGGTCCACGCCTGTACAGTATAGAAATATGGTGGATTAGTTGAGTAGATGAATTTTAGTTGTGATGAAGAAATTTTCATAACAGATTTCGTTATATGGTAGATAATAAAATTTGACAATCATGTGCATAAGAAGGATATTAAATGTGAACATAAAACAAAATTTAAAGAGTGGAAAAGAATAGGAGTTACAGAAAGAGTGAATGAATATACAGTAATTTCCGTAGGTACCTTTCATAAAGTTTTATCGTGAAATACCTTATGCAGGGCTCAAATTATGCAAGGAATATATCTTTACTTTAAAACAGGTACTATGGGCTCTGGTTATGGTTTCCAGAGCTTTTCAATCGTCTTGAACAATACTATGATGAGCATCCCAATGAAGAGGTACCTTATATTTTTTGTTTTTTATAATCCCTTTCATGCTATAGTGCTATTTGGTCAGAATCAAGGGACATATATATGTTCTCTTTCATCAATTGTTATCATCCATTCTTTCCTTATTACAAAACAGATGTAACTGTAGTACTTTGCTATATTATTCCCATCCACCTCAACAACCAAATCATTTGTTTGCTTTACTCTTGCCTCTTGATATAACCTATAGTCTGTTCAGTGTGAAAATGTCACTCTCGGCCCCGTCCAGCAATATGACATATGGTTTCGTGATTGGATAATGTGGCCGTATCCTCTCTGGAAGCAAATTTTAGTCAAACTACAGTTTTTCATTAATTATATGTTTTACAATTGGCCAATCACAAGCCAAGAAGAGAGAAAGAGGGTAGGGCCATTTGACATTTCCATAATGAACAGAGCAGTACTTTACCTCCCATTTCCATGCTTACTCGCAGGTCAGTGTGTGTAATCTGGCCCACTACCATGGAAACTCCACTGTTACCCCAAGTTCTTGCGATTCTGATAAACCAGCAATAGACCAAAAAGCTCTTATCAATACTCTCATCACTTCTGTAGCTCCCCTGCCTGCTAATTTGTGGACCATTTTCTACATGGACAGACTTGGAAGACAATTCTTTTTAGGTATGTATCAGAATTTTACCAGTAAAACCTTGATAACTCGACACGTATGGGGCTCTGGCCTTGCTAAGTTATCCCAGATTATGACTTATCAAGGCACTATCCTACCCCCATATGAAAAATACAACAATAACAAATTATTGGCCAATATTTGCAGGGCCGGATTAAGAGTTTGTGGGGCCCTAGGCCATTATAAATGTGGCACTTAATGGGATGGATTCAAAGATGTACCTTCTAGGGGGTCATGGGCCTGCTCTCCTGGGAATTTTTTAAAATAACCCCTACACCCCGGGCTAGGGTGCCGCTGGCTGTATCACCCACGCTGGGGTAAATCAAGAAAACTCAACTTTTCCAAAAATAATTTTTAACATTTTTAAATTATAAAACAATCAAAAAGAAGCTAGAAAAACTATATAATGACCCTCTAGAAACTTTCCTGGGGCAGCAGTGGCAAGGGATATAAGGGGATGGTGTTGTTTTGACAGCTGACACTCGTGGTCACTACGCACTTAGCGCCCATTTTCTGCATGCCTTTGTGTCTGGGATGACCAGTAATGCATATATTTACTGATCATAATACTTATTAAACAATTAATTTATAATATTTTATTTCCATTATTTTTCATAAAAAGTGCTTGGCAACACACACGCAGTCGGTCGCCAGGCTGTCTGGCTGTCTTTGTGTTTGGTAGAGCAAGTAATGCATAAAATATTAATTATTTCACAAATAAATACATTTATAACATAATCATAGCATTATTATCCAGTAATACTACACTACTTTTAGCAATATTACTTTGATACAACATGATAAAATTGACAAACAATGAAAATTAAACAAACAAAAGTAGGTACAGTACTTACATTCAGGAAGCTTCCCTTTGGCCGAGCGTGTGGCGTGACAGGCAAATAATCACACTGGAACCTGATAACCCACACTGGTCATTCAAACAATGCAGCGAAAAGGCGCATGTTCTGGAACGTCAATCGGGGTGTAGAGGTCAAGGTCCTTTGAGGCTGCAAATCCTGCCTTCTGAAGGGGAGTGCAATGAATGGTAAGGTCATCTTAATTGGTATATGATATGAGATATGTGGCAACCTGTGGTGTAATGGTCAGCATCCTCGTCTCGCAAGCGAGCGGACCCGAGTTCAATCCTCGGGCAGGGTGAAACTATGGCCAAGTTTCTTTATGCCATTTGCCTCTGTCTACCCAGCAGTAATTGGGAACCTGGATGTTAATCGATTTGCGGATCGTATTCTGGGGTAATGGTTCGCCAGTGCAGTTGGCGAGTTGTCCGGTCTTCTCGGACTATTCCCTGACACTGGGTCATGCAGCTCATTAACTTAGGGTGTGGTTGTTGTGTTGGCGACAGTTTCTACACCTTAAACAAATTCACGCCCAGCTGACCCTTGGGCAGGCCATCCTCGATTTCGAGGGGCTTCCATTATTATTATTTATGATATGAGATATCTGTAATCTAAAGATATTTTTTGGCAAAACCAAACTTTCTGTGAGGCTTTTTGTTCTCTGTATTGGATGAATGAAACTAATTGTCAAAAAAAAAAAGCAATAAAACAAGTGAAGTGAACCAGAAGAACATGTGACTATTATATCACGCAGTAGAATAACATAATGATACGCCTATCCAAGTACAGTAATGTGAAGAAAAAAAAATCATTTGGCAGCTCTCTTACGTGCTTTGCTGCGAGCAAATTCATTTATAACATGTTCAAAGTTAAGTGTTTGGGTAATATCTGATTCAATGGTGAGAATAGAAAGGTCGCTGAGTCTGTCTTGGGAAACAGAAGAACGTAATCTCTTTTTCACACGCTTGATAACTGAAAATGAATGTTCTCCTTCTGTGTTTGCTGCTGGCTATGTCAGGTAAATTCTCAATGCTATTTCAACATTTGGAAACACTTCAACAATATCCAATCCTCGAATTTACTCCAACATCATCTGAGGTGATGAAAGATCTTTCTTTAGTTTTGAGAGGTGCCCAGAGAAATGAATCATCTCATCAGGAAAACTTTCTTCCAAAACTGTGTAGTACAGGTTGTACCTCTCTAGTCCGGCAACCTCGGGACCTGACTGGTGCCGGACCATGGAAATTTCCGGACCATGGAAATTCACCCTTTTCCTGGATAGATAGTGACTTGTGCTTACGCTTGGAAGCACTAGCACCACTTTCTCTGCTTCATGGTCTCTTTGAAGACATATTGAAGGGTTAAATGTCGTACAGTAGCTTCTCAAATTTCGCGAGTTTTTAATTCGACGTTTTCTATTTGAACACACAAAAAAAAAACATTTAAAAGTTTTGACTGCGGAAACTCGAATTTCGACGGGTTTGAACGGCCCACCAACGTTCAGACGATGTGCACAATCGTGTAAACAGCGTCATTTCTCTTATGTACAAAAGATTCATTTTTGTTTATTACTGAAAGTCTTTTTGATTGAATTAATGTTTGTGTGTGCAAAATGAGCAATACAATTCATTAATAATACAGTCAACCCTCGCTTTACGCGGTCCCACATTCCGCGTTTCCACGTTTACGCGGTACCCTGCCGAAACCGTAATGCTCACATTCCGCGGTGCGTGTACCCCTTTACGCAGAGAGCGGCTGGCGAGCTGCGCCATTTTTGGATCCAAACCTCCCGCCCTCTCCCACCATCCGCCATGTTGTGTAAGCGGCGCGAGCAGGGTGCGCACAAGGTCACTCAGTCATCAAAACATTACCGAGTTCTTCACCCGCCACCCACCACAGCCGGCCCAAGTCAGTGATAGTGATAATTATAGTGAGGATATGGACTTATATGGACTTTGAGGGGTTTGACAAAGAGGCCCTGCAAGCCTCTGTGGTGGATAGTGATACAAGTGATACAGGTGAGGGCCAATTGATATTTCTCTTAATTATTAATTGTGTGTGCATACCATCATAAAATTAAGATAATATTTTTACTACAACATAGATGTGTGTCGTCAAAAAGTGGAGTTTGGGGGTCGGCCCGGTCTCTATTTCAATTAATCCCATATGTTATGTTGTTCACTTTACGCGTTTCTCACTTTCCGCGGTACCCTGTGGGTTGAATTAACCGCGTAAAGTGAGGGTTGACTGTAAATAATAATGGGAAAATCCTCTCACAGATAATCAGAAACAAATTTATTAAAAATGTCAAGTCCAACTAACCAAATGTCAAGTCTACTCCTTGCTTTGATATAAATAAAGCACAGAGTAGACTTGAGGGTACGCTGTCTTATTTTTAATAAATTTGTTTCTGATTATTTGTGAGAGGATTTTCCCATTACGGTGGTCCCTCGGTTAACGAACGCCTCGGTTAACGAAATTTCGGTTAACGAATAACTTTCCATAAGAATCTTCAATTCGATTAACGAACAATTATTCGATTAACGAAATTCTTACGAAAACATATCATGTTTTGGCTTGCTCATCAGCTGGTAGGTTAGTCCGCCAATACAGTAATCGGTTCTAGGGCTTACATTCTTTCCCATTGGAGTAAATATCAAGAAGGTTGTGCTATTCAATATTTTTTCAAGTTTTATATTAAAATTATTAGTCGTTTTAACACTTATTTAACATAATTGCAGTACAGAGAACTAGTTTTTGGTGCGCCCATCAGCCACTTCACTCACCCACCAAGGCGTATGTTTGTGTCTGTTCAGTGGAGGAAACATCTTGCTTGTGGGTCTCTTGAACACAGTATTTTTAAATTTTTACAGTACAATTATTGGTCATTCTGAATTTGATTTAACATATTGATAATATAAAGCACAGTGCAGTGTTGATTTAAAGAAAATAATCTTCAATTACACCTTAAAATTTTATTGGTGAAATGACGGCGTCAAGCATGTGTCCCCTGGAAGGTGATTTCTCCTCTATCCCCACTTCCTTCCCTTCTCCTCCACCCCACTTCTAATTCCCATCATCACCAACAACCTGGAGCCTTCTACATACACACCTCAGAGTAAGTGTACTTTACTGCATTTTTTTTTTTTTTACTTTGTCTGTACTTTTTGGTGAGCTGGAACCAACTACCCAATATCCCATTGAAACATGATTCGGTTAACGAACGACCTTCTGGAGCGAATTGCGTTCGTTAAACGAGGGACCACTGTATTATACATTTGTATGTGTTTTGTGTGTGTGTCTACACACACACACACACACACACATATATACAATACAGGTAAAGGAAATTACTGTCTCCAGAACAAATGTCTCCCTGTCCAGGCCACAAAAATGTCGGCAACTTTAAAACTACCTGCAGACATTGTTGGGTACATCCAGGGTGTCATCCACAAATCATAGAGGACCACAAAATAAAAATTCGCAAATTGTCCGGGCGTACTGCACAGTACCCTTGTTAATTTGACAAAAAAGGGTTCTGAGTTACTCAAAATACCAAAAAAATCCAGTGCTTGAGAGATGGTGAGTTCTGGCAACATTATTAGAGAAAGCAGGAATGATCAACTGTGTACCGCTCTGTAAACAAGAGACTGTGAATATTCTACAGCGCAATTGCTCATCTAGGATTGAGTGTGGGATTTTGGGGGGAAAATTAATTATTTTTCAGTAATGTTTTATTAACCCAACACCAAATGAACCAAAATAATATAGGAATTATGATGAAATTGCATGCAGTCATTATAATGGGATTGCTGGCTGACGAACGTAAGGTGAGATCTAAACAGCACCCCCCTCTTTTCCTCTCTGCTCAGCCAACCCTAACCAGCTATGTACCCAAATGTTGATTTGTATCGAAATATAATTCATATTTTATTCCCATACAGTAATTCATTCATCTTAATCCACTTCATAATATATTCCTATGATAATATTTTAGATTATTGCACTGTGTATGATTTGACTCGATAAATCTCTGTCATGTTCTCTGATAATATTCTTTCTAGTACTGTACATATAGTATTAAACGAAACATGTTAAACCAATGTGAAAAATGTATAGTAATATAACTAAGTAAA